TTCAGGATATTTTTCGTTGCATTTTAAATTGTCCTCGATTGATGCCCACAATACAGTTGCTTCCAGTACTTCATAAATTTCTGTGATTCTATCTATTTTTTGAGGGAAGTGATTTCTGCTCTCATTTATTTGCGATGAAAACGATTCGCTGCTTCAAAAATATTTCAAAATTAGAGAATCCAGACAAAAATTTCACCAGAATTGTGACCACTCGGAGAGTTCTACGACCGGTCGTTGGCTTAGTTGTAAGTTGGCTCCCATTAAACACTTGCGCATCTGCGGTGCTCGTTTCGAAACCCTTTCCTTGCCTCCATTCGAATCTCTTCAAGTGTAAAAATCGTTGAAATTCTAGTGAAGCAACGTAATCGCAGATAATAAATCAGTAGTTGACTGATTTATTATCTAGAAGCATAGCACCAACTATGAGCTCACCTCTTTAATGCTATTCAAGCTCATTCGACCAGGCTTTATTTCGATTGCAGTGGCCGTAAAATTAGTTCGTAGCAGTGTCTCGCCATCAAATTGAATCCGACCGGTGAAAGTGCCGTCTTCTTCATCTAGCACCACCTGAAACACTTCTATATTCTCGATTCATCGAGCATTCTGTCCATGCTGTGGAAGTTTTTTTAAGTCTACGCATATTTTCCGACTAACGTCAAATGCACCTTCAGTAACCTCGAAACTGCGAAAGATGAAAACTGTGATAAGGATTCTATAAATGTTGTGATTGATTGAATACAAATCATTTTACGATTCAGAACAATCACGATAGTTATGCTAAGAAACAGAACCTCTTTTAAAGCGTCGAATATTTTATCACCGAATTCGAACGGTTCAAATTGACGATTGGAGTTTTGTCGATCCTCAATCGGTCGGCAATATAAGCCAGGATATCCATCATTGTAGAGTTGATGATGACTGAAAACATCCTTAAAAAGATTCGCTCCATAAGTTTTCAAAACCCGTCGTATCGCTTCAGCTGCTACAATGATTGCATCATGTGCTAATACTGCACTTACCTGCAAAAAGCATTCTCTTATCCAATTCCGATTATTACTTACAAGATAAAACGAATAATAACATCTCAAAGCGATCATACATATATATCAAATGCAACCACTTCCTCTCAAGAAAACCAATTATCAATTGAAAGTAATGAAAAATAAAAGAATTCGAAGTGAGACACCGTTTTCACAATGTTTCATCACATTCTAACAATTCATAACTATGTTTTTCGGCAAGCGAAGTTAGCAATAGTTAGAGAATGCATTTTCACAGTTAATTGTTACAGAGCGATTCGCGCATATTACTTTAGAATGTCCGTACCAATAAAGAACATCAAATGAGAAGAATGAGAGTGGCAAACGAAATGTTATTGTGGAAGAATGAGAAAATTTAGTGAAACTGCTGAAAAAGAATGAAAATTTCTTCGACTGTCACCAAGAGAATGAGAGCGACGAGAAAGTGACGGAAAAGAATGAGAATTCTTGAATAACCAGCATGTGTTCCGGGCATAATTCGTAAGGAATTTCAGCAATCTGCGCTACTCATTGGTTTCAATGGAACTTGTAACTCTCAGTGGACTCTATGATAATTCATTTGAACTGAGGGTCCCGTCTTCAAGCCAAACGTAAACTCATGTCCTATCAAGAAGTATGCGATTTGCACANTGATGCACAAATCACACTGAATAAGTCATAATGAGTCTTGAAAGAGATAAAAACTTAAAGGAAATAATCATACGGGTATATCTGCATCAATTGTTCGATCGCCATACAACTGTGTGTACATCTTACGTTCTCTTCTGAAATCATTTTCACTTAATTTTCCAAGGAAATCAAGTGATTTTACCAATAACTTCGGTGTTGATCAGTTGTGAAATGCTTACTTCCGAAAATAACTCGTAGAAATTCGATTGCGAAATCGCCGAAATGTACTCAGATCTTATGAACGTTCGCAATAATTCGATGAGTGAAAATAAATAGTGTCAATATCACTCATCATATTCAGCAGTTTTGCAGTCTGAGAGCACATTTCAATTGAATACGTATCTGACAAATGAGAATGGAAAATCATACTGGTATCGTTTGTTGTGTTTATTGAATATACGAAATCCGGTGATATTTATCAACGAATAATGAAATGCATCAATATCCGCATCGTCCAATTCCTCTAATGATTTATTCAATTCAGAAAATGAATGAGCGAAAAAAAAACTTTGATGGCTAATTCAATGTTGTATTGCTTCGAGACCTCATCCAAGGAGGAAGAGTGAAAGAATTCAAACTGGCCAGACACTCAGACAAGTGAATGAATGTGATCTGTGCTGTCTAATCGGATTATGGAATTTCAAGATGAGCGATATGTTTCCTGTTTCACATTCGTTTCTGAGCCGCATTCTAATGCGCACTTTTGCTAATTCAATAGATTTTTTGTACATATAATGTTTAGATAATGCAGAATAAAGTCGTCGTGATCACTGGGAAACATCTCGAAAGCTTCGGGTTGAAATGAGTTCAGAATTGCGTTTGTTTATTGAATCAATCGGCAATTAATTACTAATTGTAAGAATTTATGTCTACAACAAAAATGCCACATTCTTCTGTCATGAACATACTTTAGAATACGTGTTCAGAATGACGTAAGTAAGAAACGCAGCTGATAAATACTCGGATACAGTCGAAACCGAATGATTTCGAAAATTTATTCGTGATTAATCNCAATGATTGATCATTACTGATCATAGACGTCCTCATTACTGACCAATAATACTCAATGTAAAGAGCGCATATATTTTTGAATGAATCTCTGCTATGGCTCAACTGGCTGAAGATAATGGCAAGACAACATATTCCACTTACTAGCAACTAGTAGGTATGCTTTATGATATTTTATCAATGAAAAATAACGAAACCACTAACAAAATTCGATATCACATAATTGTACTGTTTCCTGATAAGAATGCTATCTTTAAGTGCCTTTAGAAATGCACGAATTCGATAATTGCTATTGATATCGACCACAACATTCAACGTTCTGCAATTGTCAGTTTTGGAATTGAACGTATGCTTTGAAATGATTCAACAATAAATCTTGTGTCATGCATTCAACCATCTATTTGATCAGTTAAGATGGGCTATAGACTCGAACGGAATACCAAAAAATTTATTGCGAACTTCTCTGTGAAGGCAATCGCATTAACATGAAATTACGTGAACTGAATTGAAATTTCACAAAAATTAGCAAAATATCCACATCTCCTGACTAATGAGAATCCAAAAAAAAAACGGTGAACAAACTTTTGCTCAAATTCGATGGGTGGTTGATGGGTGGACGAGAATGAGCGTTTTCGATGAAATATATTCAAAAATTCACGAAAATACTCTTCATCCTCGGGAATACGGTACGTATCAATCTCGAGTTTATAGGTGCTATCCTTTCCAGTCAAATATTTGTAGATGGCTGCCAGAGAACGCTCAGCTGTAATTGAAATGAAAAAAAAAATGAAAATGCTTGAATGCAAGTGAGCGCAGCAATCGTAATTCAATTACTATCGCATCCACAAGCTTATTCCAAATATGTGTACTTTATAAAAACGATGAAAATTCTTTTGTTGACTGTTCAAATCAGCCCTTATTTTCATAACTCATCCAAACCCATTTATCATGTGCACTTTCGAAAAAACACCAAGCAATTTATCACTGAAATGTTTTGATATGAAGGTTGTACTGACGAATGAGCAATCTTATTTGAGGAAAAATTCACGGATTGTTTTCCCTTCTCATTGACAAGCCATAATGAACAAAACAAAACAATGCGGCTATCAAATTGTAAAGTAATATGCACAGTAAAATCGA